GCTTGCCATGCTGCACTTTGCAATCCTCCTGTGCAAAAGGCTACATAGCCGCCACACTTGCAGGGATGTTTGCGCGCTGGTTCGGCTGGTCCGAAACGGACACACTCTTTCGTAGCCTCGAGTGTTCTCTTCCAGAAACACTGAATCCATCATGGTCCAGATCGAAAAAGAACAGAGTGCCACCTACCACGTCTTAAAGCCCCCCAAGCAAAAAAGAGCCCCCCAAACCTTCCCCAAAAACCGAAGGGGGCGCTGTTCCCCACCTTGTTGATCCCCCTTCTTTCCCCCCCCTCCCACGTCCTTCGCTCCGCAGTCGTCGAAGATCCGCCGATCGCAGATCCCCACGCAGACCGGCCGCGTGGCGCCTGCGGAGGATCGGCGGCTCGAAAGCGCCAGCGCGACGAAGCGCACTGGGTCCGGGGAGACGAGGCGAAGAGATGCGAAGAGATGGATTAGTAGGGAAAGAGATGGAAGAGATGCTGTGGGAGCTGGAAGAGAGTCAAAAGAGAGCAGCTAGCTAGATGTTGGGTATCTATCCTAATCCCTGTAAGGGTGATGGTTAGTAACGGCCTTTCTCTAAAATAGTGAAAATGTTTGCCGACTGTCACAGGTAAATACGATGATGATACGAAACACATCAATAATGAAGTTCTCCCTACGGAACATCAATGATTTCAACCAACAACCTGACCTGCTCCAGGACTCTGTGGTAAACTGGCAGCCTCTTCCTACGTCTCTCCTGTCTCCACATCACCCTCCCTCAGCGCCGCGCAGGACATCCGAGCGTCCACCACGTTCGAAGCGTTTCGATGTTCGCTGAAAACCACATCCCACGTGACAGGTCCAGTGATTTTGCCACATCCCACGTCTCGGATCAGAATCCACAATGCTCCTTCACCCTTCATGTTTTGGGGAGTCCCATCCAGTGATGTTGATCTTCTAAACCCAGCTGGTCGTGACGGTGGGCTTCCCCCCACTGGGGTGAAGAGGAGTCAGAACTTGGAAACTCTGTGATATCTACCGTATACCGGCTTTTGTGGAATTTTTCTGGAATTGAGTGTATTGAGGGAAAAAGTGCACATTGTTTGGGAAGGCCATTTCACTTTGGAGAGTCACTTCACCCAGGAAATGATGCATGTTTTTTTGAAGCTTGCTCCAGCTCGAGTTCCCACCGCCGGCCTTCAAAGTGTTCGGAGGTACCATCGCGGCAAACAGGCCTCTGCCGTCTGTCTGTGTCTTGTACATCCAAAAGAAACCCAGAACACTGCATAAAACCGCCTGACTGATTACTGCATTGCTGCATTGCTACCAAGATCGTCAGCTCTACATCCAAATGGATCTTGTCCTTAAAAAAACATCTCTGGCGACGCACCACGATGAAGGGCTCCGGTTGACGTTGGTCGACTCGACTCCTCTCCGTCACTGACGAGCTCCAGGTCAGGCGTGACGCGTGAGGCGCTGACGAGCGCGGACGTGTTTTCAGGTCTGACTTGTATTCCATCGGACCGTGGAAAGCATGGTCAGCAATAGAAGTCTGCCTTCAAATGATTCAATTTCACCCCACAGAGAAAATCAAATTCGCGCCTGTCTCCCAGATCTGTACGAGGTTGGAGGCCATTCGGCATGCCGTGCCCGTGCCCGGTGGAACCACACCCGTGTCCGGTGGGCTCCCGGACGTGTCGCCCGAGCAGTCCACATGGTCAGAGCATGTCCTGAGACTAGAAGAATCGAAAGGTCCATGAAAATGCCAGGGTTCGATTTTAGCGATGATTTTACATATACTTCTTACTTAGGGGTGTCAGAAGGTCAGGACTCTTTTGGCAAGTGTGGTTGCTAATCATTAGAGGTCACTGGTCACCCAGACCAAGCTTTTTCATGATGAGAAATCACCTTGACATTTTTCCTTCATGAGGAAAGGTGAAGCTAAAGGTGTTGAAGACGCAGAAGAAAGGCAGTTAGTATTGCACAAAAATTGGTCCCCAAGAAAGGTCGACCAAAGTAATTGGGTTTGTGTGCACCATATTTATGGCAATTCTGGTTCCATGTATATGCCTAGGGACTGAAAACCGGACCCACTTTTCTGACATTTTTGGACTCCACGACGCTTGGTCATGTCATCGCATGGTGTTGGGGGGGGCGGGGGGGTGGGGTGAGGGTCAAATTCCCCGCAGTGGAGCGTGTAATGTATAGTATCCCTGGATTCAACTCACAGTCCAACAAGGTTCACAAGAGCGAGTGGGCGAAGGCGATCGAGCGGCTGTTTTCACACGCACATACCTTGAGCCAAATGTTCTGGCATGTCAATGCATTGCGTAAGAGCATATCGCAAGATACTGTAACCAAGTTGAAGCAATAGCGTAAATGGGGGCCCAAAAACAGAAAACATGGGGGGGGGTGCTGTAATTTCGTTCTTGTTTTCACATACGTCTCATGAGCATGAAGGCTCAAGACGTAGCCACGGTGTGTGCTTTAGTTTTGTTGTTTCGGTTGTCGGGTGTTCCTTGTCCTCCTCGTTTTTGTGTTTTCTTCCTTTGTGGTGCGTCAGCCCTTTTTCTTTAGAACAGTACGTAGACGGCTTAACTCGTGATTGTTCTGACCCTTGAGTTGCTTTTGTTCACGAAACAGGTTTGGGTTCAGATCGTGGCTGGGTAAACTGGGAGCAGGTGTTAGAAACTCGTTTTTCGTTGTTCACACTTTGGTGCAATGTGTGGTTGAGGTTTTCTTTTTCGAAAAACATAAACTAAGTCCTTTTCTGTTGGTGACTGTTGGTGTTGAGTTGGCGTTTGTTGCGTAGTTGTAGCGGCTCCATGTCGGATGGGTGCGCCGCCGCTGATTTGCTCGACAATGGCATCGATGAAAAAGACTTGCACACGGAGCCTGACTGGGGACAGCTAGATACACAAAAAGCAGGCAACTTGAGGTGTCGCGAAAAAAAAACATTTTTTATTTAGGCAAAACGCATGACAAAGCACTGCGCTTACCAATGAATTTGACATGAGAACAGGCAAAAAAGGGTACGGTTTCCAATCCGTACGGATGTATATATACACCAGAAGATTCAACAAACTAAGTAAGAAATCTTAGCCGCTTTGGTCGAATCTGTCTTTGCGGGTGTTTCATTCCAAAGATCAAGTGAAGTAGTCGAATTGGATACATTTGTTCGCTTGATGTGTGATTCATTGAAAACAGGTCGCGGTCGAGGTGTTTTTCCGTGTCCACCCGGCGCATGACAATCCAGCACAGCTCATGCACACGGCATTGGCATCTTCATCAAGCTCCTCAACAGCTTTTCAACGCCAAGACCTTCGCCAGATTCTGTACAATGGAAGAGCCTTCTCCATGGTCCGGATGGAGCCTGTAAGTGGATGACAAGTCCTATTCAATCTGAACACGCGTCCTATGAAGTCCTCATCAGGGTTGAACCCCACGTGCCCGCCCAAAGGGAGCATTTGGCCGTAGTTTGTACAGTCTCCACTCACGGTGCTTTGCATAGCACAAAACCCATAGCCCAGGAGCGTATCATATCCACGAACGAGCTTTTTGCGCCACTAAACAGCGTGAGTTCATGGCCAAGCAAGATGGCTTCGGTCAAAAATGCATAAGAATGCATGTTTGCCTTCTGGAGCCAGCTGATGCCCACGTCCGGAAGCTCATGCCGGAAGTGCACTGTCGCCACGCATGAAACATCCCAGCAACGCAGTCGCAACCAACGAGCCAACGGATCTTGGCGCTCTGTCTCCTGACTCCCCCGAACAGGATCACCCTCTTTCAAAAAACATTGGGGACCCTGGTTGGTCACAAGAAGTGAAGCCCCAAACCAAAAGAAGAAGAACACATCCCTAAAAAAGTGAAGCCCGAAACCAAGCCAAAAGACATGACGTCCAAAGAAGCCCTACAGAAGTGAAGCCCAAACCCAAAGCAATCGTAAAGAAGTAACATGCCGCACTAATGCCAAGGAAACCATGAAGCAATGACATCCTAAACTAAGCCCAAAGAAACCCTGAAGAAGTGCAGCCCTAAACCAAGCCAAAAGAAACCCCAAGAAGGGAAGCCCTGAAACAAGCCCAAGCAAACACTGAAGACGTCTGCCCTTCAAGAATCTGCGGACTTCTGGAAAAAAGAGGTGGCCCTGCCTCAAAAATTTTCTTTCTTCTTCTTTGTCCAATGCAGCTTTTTAAGAAAGTCATCTCCTACCTCCTCGTCTGTATTTCTTTATATGTGGTTCTAATTATTGGTGTCTCATCTACAGGTTTCCAGGTATCCTGATGACAAAAAGGTTTCCTGACTCTGACGTAGGTTTTCCATGGTTTTCCAATTCCGTCTTCTCCCTAGGGTCATGTCCCATTTTCCAGTATACACTTAGCGAATCCTCACCTCAAATCCCAGCTCTCTCTCTCTCTCTCTCTTCGCCGAAGGGGCCGTGCGGAGTGCCACACATCGGCGAAGAGCTCGGACGTCTTGGAGATGCCGCCGAGCACCTCGCGGGTCGCGTTCCGGCGCCGAGGATGGATGTGGTGCGATGGAGGTCGAGTCGTCCCTGTCGCTGGAAGAGATGCCGCCCTGGTCGAAAGACCCCCCAAATGCACCCCGAGGTTGGCAAATATGGCATACATGGAGTGTCTGGGATTGGATTTGATGAAGAGGCACAAAGAGAATCAAAGAGATATAATACAATAATATTACATATTATATACCTTCATCTCACTTGTCCTTCCAAAATATGTCCATCCCTTCTTTCGAATCAGAGTACGCCCCTTTGGAGAAAGTACGCCCCTTTGGAAAAAGTACGCCCCTTCTGTTTTTTGGTGTTTTTATGAAACATTATGAAACCATCGATTCTGACAAACATTGGTCTTTAAATGTTATTAATTGATGTTGCACATAGGTTTCCCACCATGCACCCACAACACCAAGCGCAAACACGCACTGTTTCAGACACACATCTTTCGTGGTTGATCCCCATTTCACAGATGCACAGCTCAAACAGAGGGCAAGTCCCTCTAAAATGATGAGTCTGCATCTTCTAGAGCTTGCATTGCGCAAATTAAACTTCTCTGGACTACCCTGGAATGGAGAGTCCTTGGATTTACACGGCGTGAAAGCCGTGACGGCCTGCCGATCCAATCCTCCTGCTGCTGAACTGACGTAGCAAGTGGATTTGGAGTCCACCTACAACGCTGGCTGTGAACACGTAGGGCATAAGCATGGTGGCACAAAAAGTGCAACTTTGGCACAAGAGCGTACCTGGGCTTTCCAGCTTGAAGGGTCAACCTGGCACACTTTGTGTACCCCTGCAGGAACAAACTCAAGCACTTTGAGAGCTGCAGGCTGTCAGCCTGGCTTAGCCAGAACCCAGCTCCATACATGAAGCTCATGGCCATGTTGATGCCACGCACTGCGCTTGCCTGCCACGACAACCATTCAAAACAACACAAAACATGATAAAAGTCACAAACATTGTCCAAACAAAAAAATATATATGGTGCAACAAAGCCTGCCAAGTTGTACCTACAAGGAACCACCGTCATCAATAGTTCATCATGTGTTTGCCCATCGATGCACTTTTGGCAGAAAAATCCCAAGTACTTCATGAACTGCGTAGCTACTTCTCCCTTGCTCCAGCGGCCTACTGGGCAAACATTGCCTGAAGGAAATGACAGTGTCTCTCGTGAGATTTCATCCAAATAGGGGCGGATCTTGTTCGCAGCACAGTAGGCCTTGAAGTCCGAAGTCAGCCAGCGAAAGGAATTGTCCCATGAGAGCCCCCTGAACATGTCCAACCTCTCAATGATCGACACGATGCTTGAAGCAAAGAAGTGCTTTGAAAGACCTAGGTGGAAGCAATGCCACACATCAGTGCTGAAAAATTCTGCCTTGGCGCTATGGTCCACCGGTAAATTGGCCAAGATGGCTGGCTCGCTGTCCCAAGGATCCACACTTCCAATCGTTCTTGCCCAACATGGATTGACTGAGGTATCCTCATACGGGAATCCTTCTTCACCTGGACGTGTGGCTTCAGTGCCAGCTAGGCACTGATGGCACACACCAACACAAGCCCGCTTCGAAGAGGCACCACGAGGACAATGACTGTGGTGGCGCTTGAACCCACCAAGTTTGCTCAACGCAGGCAGGTCACCTTTGGTGGCCAAGTGGATCACACGGATGTGAGGCCTGCCATCACTGCTGGTGATTCCATCACGGGCAAGCGTGGCCATGTCAGCTGCGTAGCGGCCAACAATCACATTCATGGCTTCCGGGTGTTCTGCCATGGCATCATGCAAGCAAATCCCACTCAAGAACTGAGTGGCCCACGTAGAGCCAATGAAATTGAGCCCCATCATGCGTTGCCTGATTGGCAAATCATCATCCTTCTTGCTATCCACATATTGTTGACTCCCTCTTCCCAAGCAACCATGGGTTGACAGGAGCCACAAAGCAGCATGCTTGTACGTTCTTCCTTCATCGGTGTGGCTATATACCGGCAGGGTCAAAGACAAGTCCACATCCATACCATGAATCTCATGATTGGGACATAGCTCTGCATGCCTGACCCAAAACTCACGCAGCAAAGGCTTCATGGCCGCAATGCTCTTCACTCCGCAAAGCTGTCTAGGCAGCCTCCCCGTGTCCAACAAAAAGCGGACCCATGAGGAAAAGGGTATGAAAGGCACCTGAAACCCCTCATCAACCTGCAAGGTTTCTGTCGTCACTGGAGCAACATAGCCATACTTCCGGAAGACTCTATGGCAGCCTTCCTCACCATGCTTCGGATCAATCTTGGCAAAGTCCCTCAAAGCAGGTCCCGGGCGACTAGAAGTCCTAAAGTTCTCCTTCGCCAGTTCCACCACGTGCGAACAAGAGGCCTCAGAGAACACTGGCATGATTGCACACATCATGAGTCGTTTATATAAGTTGCAGGTGCACTGCCTTGCACATACAATTGAGTAGAACAAAGGCAAGGTAACAAGAGTGGAATGTGTACTCATGCACGCGCACGCACACACACACATGGCAAGCACAGACTTTTTCAACTTTTGTCTACACCAGTCATTGAGATCTTTGAGTACAAAGATCACCCAACCCAGCAAGCTTGGTCTGCACGTCCACCAGTTACATAAACAAAATAAGGACCCGTGGTTGGGCACTTGCGATTTTGTGCACCCTCTCCGCCGCTTTCAGCAGCATTTTTGCAACCAACAAGTTTATGAAACAGGGCTATGAGCCCTGCTTCTAACATATTCACTGTATCCAAGCTCATCGAATTTGCTATGACCCACATGCAAGTAAAATTCTTTTTCACATACGAAGAAAAGCGTAAAGGAGGATTTGTTGTTATACCAATCTTGAAGCAACAGGGCGAACCAATTGCTTCCCTAAAAGCAACGACTTGATTGCGGCAATGGGCCAACAATTTGCCACTAATCATTTTGTCATTGGCAGGGCACTTGTGAAAGAGATGGTGCGCTTTCAGCGCCTTCCAATCAAACACTTCAGCAGCAAATGTCCGACCCATGTTCACTAGAATTTCATAGTCAGGCATCTCTACCTTGGACCAGGCACAAAAAGAATATACTTTCATGATGCATGCACGGATCACTTAGTTTGTTTTTTTGCGGGCCGATGTGCTTTCGAGCTGGCAGTGGACCGATGAGAGCGGAGCGGTGTAGGGCAGGAAGTCAATGATTCCCTCATGAAGTAGTCCATGTACAGATCTTCACAGGGTGAGTGAGGCAAGACTTTGGGTTGAGTGTCCATTGGCATCTCCTTGTCTTCCACCACATTTTCGTTCATCCTCAAAAAGAGATTGCAGACTAGTGATGGCTAGCACACAACACAAAGTCAATATTGAAGACATCTCAGCCTTCTTGCAAACAGGAAACCTTTGGATTTTTTTCGGCGGTGAGTCTCCAGCGGTTCTTTTGCCACCAGTGATGGGGCAATCATAGGTCAGAAGCAGCTTCAGCAAATCATCATCATCATCGTCGTCGGTATCATTCATGGCTCTAAACAAGTGGTGGTGATTCAAAGCTTTCGTTACCTATGTTTAGCAGCAATCAGCGTATCGATACTACATGTTATATTGATATGGAGTATAGTCTTCAAATTTGCGATGTGCGCTATGCAGAGCCCTTCCCCAAACAGGCTACTAGGCACGCAATGTTCAGACTGTTGGCATCCAAAAATCATGAAAACTCACAATCTCTAAAAAAGAAAAAAGTTGATCATTGAGTGCCAGACCCCCCGCGAGATCATGCGAGCGTACACCCGCACCACATTGTCAGGCTCAGCTTTGGCTCTTCGACCTGGCCATGTCCAAAGAGCCACTTGGAGCATTTGTTTACTAGACAGGCTCCACCAAAAAAAGACTAGTGATTCAAATTCAGCGCTGAATTTCTCTTGCAAACGTTCCTTGCCATGCTCCATCACGGCTGAGATAGCTAGAAAGATCCATGTCATTTCATTCAGAAATGACCTGGCCCCAAACCCAATCCAGATATATATCTGGCCACAAAAAGTTGGATTTTTTCTGAATCCAACACCACAAGTTGGCCACGATGCCAAACTCACTCCTTCTTCAATAGGGACTTCAAAAGAGTCCTGGGTGGGCTGGCACATGAAGCCCCCAAGGGGAAGGCTGAGAGCCTTTCTAAAATCATTTAGCCTTGAAGGAATAGCCAAGCAAAAGCCATCGTTGCTACTGAGTTTCTTCCCCGCGTTGTCCGCAGTGGTCACCTTGCTGCACCTCACCGACAAACACTTTTGGTATCAGTGGGTGCTTTATGTTTTCAGTTAAATGCAATCCAAAGCACGCCCGGGTGGTGCTTTTTATTTGGGCTTCTACTTTCTTGATGAGCCTGGGCCCCAATAAAATATATTGTCCAGAAAGATGTTGAAGTATTTAGCAAACATCAAGGAGCTAAGCCTTACACTCAGACCTTTTGCTGGAATCGAGCTTTTTATCTGAGAGCTCACTGACATCCGCTTTTACACCCTCGATGTTCTCAAACTCCTGCTCCAGGATTTCGATGGCTCGCTCAATGCCAACGACTGTCCTGAGGCGAAATGGGATGTATGGAGTTTCAAGGCAGACTGGACGTTTAAGATCCCCAAGCCCCCCACTTCTCCACACGCTTCTCTTCTTTTTCAGTGGATGCAGCTCCCAGCTTGGAGACAAGCTCGCTCAGCTTTGAGGATCTACTCAACAAAGAGTCGCCCAATTTCTTCAAATCTTTCAATTCCTGGATTTTGAAATCTGAGGATGTTTGATGTCAGCTAGCACCATAGCTACAGGAAACCCATTGCAATCAAAGTTGTGCACATACTAAAGGTCCTGGGATCCACCATTGGCCAATGATACATTCTTGGAATCCCCATCGTCGCTCGAGTCCGATTCACTCTCGCCCTGTCCCTTCCCTGACTTCTCCGGCTTTGCGTTCTTGCCTTTGGCGCCTGCCTCTTTGGCACGGTGTTTGAAACCAGGAATCTCGTCAACCTGGCAGTAGGGACGCTGGGGAAAAACTAAAGACTAAAAACATTTGGAGGGCAAGGGTTTGGGATGGGGGGAAAAGGCCTCCTCACATTCCTCCTCATGTACCCTATCGATTTCCTCATCAAGGCTCTCATCCCCTTCTTCAATCTCAACATGGTACTTCATCAACTTCTTGTTGTATTTGTCCTTCCTTAGGTTACACTGTACAGTTACGGGGATGAGTGAGCATTTGCACAGCAACATCTATGAGGTACCATGAATGAGTTTACCTTCCATGCATAGGCAGCGGCTTGACCAAGCCCTTCTTCTCGCAATACTTCACCACGGATGCGATGTACTTCCTCAAAAGCCCAAAAACAGGGGTTGATTTAATGTGTGTGTATGTGTGGGGGTGGTTTGGTTTGATTAGATTTGCAAAGCAAGGGGCTTGCTCCATTTCAATACCTTTTCCATACCCTCCTTGGTGTACCAGCCACGTCTAGTCTTCTTTGATTTCTTGGATACAGTCTCATGCGACTTGGTCACGGTGCGAATGAACCTCTCCTTAGAGATCTACTGGTAGTCAACTCGCAATAGTAAGCACAATGTTCCATTCAAACACCAAAATGCAATTGTGGTGTGAGTATGGTCATTGGTTGAAACATCACCACAGTAACACATCCTTTCCATTGAGCTGCTTTGAGGGGTTGATCACTATTTGCCATATTTTGCCATACTCACACCAATCCACTCAAGAATGTAAGCCCCGGTCGGAATCCCAATCACAATCCTCCAACATCTGACGTAGCTTTTCCCTGGAATGGCCTTTGGCCAGCCACATCTTATGGACCTTTTCAGGTACTCTCAAGCGACCCGAGGGTTTTCGCTCACACAGCCGCCTCAAGCGGTTGTTCTTGGCAGCATCGGTCATTTCATTTTCAGATTCAGACCCCTGAGATGCATTCTCACCATCAGAATCCTGCCCTGACTCCTGGTCCTCCTCCTCCTCGTCCACTTCATCAGGCTCCGGCATCTCCACCGGCTTCGACTTGGAAGCAGCTGCCTTGCTTTTGGCAGCAGAGGACCGGGGCTGTGAAGGCTTCTTGGGAGCTGGGGCTGGTGAAGAACTCTTAGCAGTAGCTTTGTTCTCAAACTCTGCCAACCGAGCTTGCATCCTCTTGTTGGCCTGCAAGCTTGGGCAAACAGAAATTCATAGGTATGTTGGAAACAATCTACTGTAAGTGTAAAGAGAAACCAAACAAATAGGAAAGCCTCTTTCAAAGCCAGGATTTGGGAGTCCGCATCAGGGTCGGCATGTTTTCCACGCATCCGCTTTGCTGGAGCCGGGGGGGGGGTGCTAGTCGTCTCTGGTGTACTCTCTGGATTGGGTGGCTTAGGCTTTGCACATCTCTTGTTCTCTTTAAATGGTGTGTCTTTGTTCTCTGCAGGGGTTTTCTTCTTGGGTGAAGAAGTTCTGGCTCTAGCTTTAGCTTTCGCTTTGGCAGCAGTGCAGCGAGTGCTCTTCTTCACCTCCTCCTCGCTTGCCTCATGCAGTTTGCATGCAGTGCATTGAGCCCCAAACAGGTTCCCCATATATGGCCAAGTGGCTGGGACGGTATCATGGCTCTCAGCCATAGCCTGAGATGCCATGAAAAACTCAAGATTTTCCCCATACAAAACATAGTCTAACAGGAATCTGTGTATCGACCTAGAAACCTGTTGCTCCCTTAGTGCACGAATCTCCTCTTCATAGTCCTTCAGGACAAAAAGCCATGTGAAAAATGGCTTTGATTGTCAACACTTTCACAAGCTTGCAAAACACATGAACACAATACGACAAGAAGTGAGTGTGTCCTTAATTTTCTGTTCCAAATCGTGTTCTTTTTCAGCCTCTGCCTTTACTTTCATCATGGCCTTGCTACCCTTTTCAAGTTCACTACAGCTCCACTTCTTCGACAGCATGGGCTTAGGACTCATCCTAGCCAGTCCACCACTGAAACTCACGCACGAGCGTCGTAGATTCTACTCCTGGAGCCCTGGCTAAAGGAGAAACCACTGGGTAATGTCAACAACCGTGTGAGGTTGATGTTTATTCTTGCAAACCTCTCCCAAATCAAACATATCAAAAATACGTGTTTTGTACGTACTTTGTACGCATTCTATACGCTAAAGCACGCCCCTTATACGTCAAAGCACGCCCCTTGTACGGGTGGACTTTTTTGTACGTACAAAATACGTATTTTGTACGTATTTTGTACGCTTCCCAATATGGGACCATAATCGACTAAAATTGATGCTTTCTTCAAAAGACACACATTAGATCACATTAGAACAATGGACAGACTTGCTTAATGCACACTCCCTTCAGCAAAGTACCAAAGTTGCCCCCGCAAGATACCATCGAGACTCATTTTGACTTCACACAAAAGTGCCAGCGTCAAAGCATTAGAACAGATCCAGGTTGAACCTGGACCAGTGCATGTTCATGTCAATTCCAGGGCTTGAGATCTCTGTGGTATTCCACGGAAACCCAGCATGCCCTGCACAATTACAGTATGTCTTTGCAACTAGAGCTCTGTTGGGAAGAGGGGCCTCCATGACCCCAGCTGGAGGTGGGTATTGCCACGGATCCATGCCAACACCGAGGGCATGTCACCATCTTCCCACAAATCATTCCAATCCATGAGGTGAAAAAGATCTTGACCGGACATCTTTGCAATATTGGGGTGAACCTCGTGCACAACCCGTGTGGCACAGAACTCACTATGTAGGCGAGCCAGCTTGCGACCAAATCTCGGAGGATAGTTCCTCGGAGACGGGGGTGACAAAGGCAAGGCAGGTAAGAGGCTAATGCAAATGTCAGAGGGTTGCAATGGGTTGCAAATACATTGATCCAAGCCCTGGACCCTGAAGTTTTCAAGTGCACAGTTCCTACGAACCTCTTCTTGCCATCTCCAGATCTGTAGGTTTTAGCCGACCTCTTCCCCAGCGATGCTAGCTTCTTTTGGTATGCCCTGCAAAGAACTCCAAGGTCCAGCTTCCCAATGGTTTGGGAGTTGCCCCATGCAATGTGCCTTTTTGGAAAGACACTATAGTAGTGAGCCATCCACCAGGAAGCACTCCAGACCTTTCACGGAAAGGGAGAAGGAAGTAGGTATGCATACCAACGTGGTATCCCTGTCTATTTCACTCCCTGTCTATTTCACCTTGGACAAACCAAAAGGCACTTTCATATATACAAGTTTGTTTTGATTGTATTCAATTCATTGCTGACCGCCCACCTGTTTCAAAGCCAAAAAGACCTCCCGTATCCGTGGGTGCCAACTCAGCATACTCGACCGTGGCTGCTCGAGCAGGAAGCAACCTCCCATCGCAACGATGCTGTAGAGCAGGAGTGCGCACCTGGGCCGAGTGAGACGATCCAAATGGCTTAGTTGAGAAAGCCACCCAATTTGGTCCAACCACATGAGGATTGTATCAATGAGCGTTTGGGTGCCCCCTTCAAGAGACACATTTGTTCTATAGGAATTTAGCGGGCATCCTACTTGTGCTTTGTCAGCACCCCAATGAAAACCAGGGGAACCTATCAGAATGGTAAACCACCACTGCACCAATCAACCCCGCAAAGCTGGAAAAGTCCTTTTCATCACAGGCTCTCTTACTTTATGGCCTTTGGGTGCCTTTTTGTGGTAGTATATCTTTGGGGCAATAGCTATATTGCGAATGTCTTCAATGTATTTTTAATGTTTTGGTTGCGTGCAGAGGCACCCCTGATTGCATGCATAATAGTTAAAGCACAATACCCATTGAAGCTGAGGTCCCACATACACACAACACTGGTACCATGACACCACAACGACCACAAGATACACTGCATTTCACGTCGAGACACCTTGTTGCAAGTTGATTTCCCTGAGAAACGCTGGAAACAGCATGATCTCCAAGAGCATCGTAGGGGTAGCGTTTGTTTGTGCCTTTGTTGATTGTTACAAAGCTGCTGCAAACCATGCCAACCAAGCAAAGGAAGTTGTCGGTTTTCCCGTTCAGGATGCACGTCAGAGCAAGCCTTACATAGTGAAAGCCAGGCATTCAGAGTCATGTGGGACACATTTCCCAAAGCACACCCGAAAACAAATAAGGTATATGCATGGGCTCCACGGTCCAAGTAACAGAAACCCAGCATCGGTTAGCAGGTCCATATAGTTTTGCACAGAAGACTTCATCTCTGGGACCGTTAAAAGTATATCCATTTGTGCTGTTGTAAACCCAGATGTCCTCATCACCCGGCTCGCCCATCCTTTCCCACTAAAGATCTCGATGAAGCTGTAGGCCTGTCAGAAGAACAGGGTTGGGTTAGTTCCAGGTCAGCTATCCAGCTATGATGCAAACAGTTTAGTGCACTCCCCATAAGCACCAGCGCGCCTCACTGAATATCACAACGTTCTCCGACAATGCCAGTAGAATCACCAAAGCCATCAAAATCTGACAGGCGGTGCCGGAAGCCATATGTTTTTTTAAAGTTCTTTCAATATTGAAATCAAAGTATATGGGAAAGAGCTTGAACCGTCGATGCAAAATAATGCAAAGTCCCTTCTCAACCGACTGTTTGGCAGGACTCATGGATTGGAGAATCTTGACTCTTGACAGGAATGGGAGATCAGGGAAAGAGACTCGGGCATGCGCCTTGGGCGCACCATTGGCGTAGAGCTTTCTCAGCACATCATCGAGCATGTGGGATTTGCCCAGCGGTATGGCCATACGTTCAAGGATATATAAGCCACACCACCCCCCAAAATGGCTTTCATTGGGCCAGCCAGATACACGGATACACGTGCAAAAAGAATCATGTGTTTGCGTGAATCCATCCACACAATGAACTTCCAGGTCAATGCTTTGAATTGACAATTACCCAATTGTTACTCTAACATTTTGTTAAGCGAGTCTGCAAGACTGGCATGGATATCGTTAGGAAGTAAGCGGCGCCTCCATCCCTCGCCATGAGACCTAAGAGAAGAGAGAGTGGCCAGTGTTTGTGTGTTTGGGAAGGAGGGAGGTGAGGGAGGCAACTTGGAAGGGGCTTGTGGATAGATGCTCCAACCCAACCCATGTATATGATCTATAATCTTTCTTTTCGGTTCTATGTTTGAGAACAGTTTTGGGCTCGATGTTTGCACACGCTTTGAATGGATGTTTCTTCTCCGTCACTTGCGCCTATGTTATGCGCACAAAATCCTTGATGAGGATATGATGCTGGCATTCTCAGGTCAATCCACCGAACGAGCAAATCAAGCTTAACATGTTGTGGAGATACCGGTCTTTCCAGGGATGTCCTTACAAACACTGTTGGCCATTGATAGAAAGACCATGGAAACTAAGCCAGCATCAAAAATACATCATGTCAAGAAATGACAATGATACCCCTGACTCGTGAAAGACAGGATCCATTTCTAGGATCCATGCGAACCCCAACTACCAGCTGCACCCACACACATCCTGAATCATTAGTCCTTGGTTGAAAAAGAAACTACTTCTTATAGGTTCCAAGAGAACAACAAGTGCGTGGGAAGAGCCGACGCCTGTGCCAAGAACCAGCTTTGCCGATCAACCTTGACTTGACGCCTTGAGATGCTGTGCCATGTACTCAGCTGCCCGGAGAGCGACATCACTCCGCACAGAGGAAATATCGACAGCTTTGCCTTTCCAAGTTCGAGTGCAATGGTTCCAGAACTCGTACTGGCAGGGGTAGGAATACAGAAGAGTTGAAAGCTCTAGAAAGCAATGTGTTAACTTTCTTTTGTAATGTGCTGTGTTCAGACTTTACGTGCATGCATGGTCTCATAAACTATAGTTTACAATGCTGCCAGGGTATTGATTCAAACGCATATAGAACAGCACGATGCAATGCGCTGCATATGACTTGGAAAGAATGCTGGGTGCAAAAAAAGGATTGAACAAATGCAAAACCCCTATAAAGTCCTCGTGCATCGAAGCTTTGGAGTTCACACATGGGCGGAGGTCAGAATTGAAAATGTCCCTGATGGCATCCCACTTCTCCATGGCAAGCGCATTGGAAGTAGGCCTCGCTCGTCGAGCGAATGACTTCATCACATCCTTCTCTTCCTGGTTGACCTTGGAATTCAGTTCAACCTCCCCCTCCTTCTTTTCTTCATCATCCCCTTCGACCTTGTTCGCAGCCTTTGACCTTCTGCGCTTTGGCTGTGGTTCACCCTCAGCACACTTTGGATTCTTGGGCTTCTTGGATTCTGCCGCCTCAGGCTTCATTGAGGCTTCTGAAGCCGCAGCTTCACCATCAGCAGCTACTGCCTCAGGGCAACCTTTGGCCTCTTTAGCAACTCTTGGCCTCTTGGATTTTTGAATGGCCTTTGCATCAATTTCTTCACAGTGTGCTTTGCCTCTTGAACGTTTGCTTTGGCCTTTCCCCTTTTCTCCATCATCCCCTGCGACAGAGGGCTTTCGCCCCGGCTGATCATCAATCTTCTCAGGCTCACCATCAATCTCACTTGTTCCAGCAGGGTTTTCTTCATTCTTCACACTCTTCTTGTTCTTGTCAGTTTTCTTCACTCCATCAGCCTGAGACTTTGCCTTTGCACGGGCCCTACTTTTGGGCTTGCCCTTGGGCGCAGGGCTGGCTGCGTCCTTTGGTGGAGTAGTTTCATCATCTCTGGCCACACCCTTTTCTTCCAGAACATTTGCTTTGGGGCATTCTTCTTTTCGTGTCTCACCTTCTTCAGAATGGTGTTGATCAGACTCTTTGCTCTCTTCCTCTTCACAGCTTTTGCTGTCACCCTTTCCTTTGCCTTTGCCCTTGCCTTTGCCTCTACCCCGTCCTCTGCTCTGGCCTTTTTTGCTTTTGCCATTCTCTCCAGCTTCAGCCATGCCACCTTCAGCAATGTTGTTCTTCAGCCCCAGTTGCTGGCGCCGCAAAACCTCAGGTGTGAATGAAAAAGTGGCGCCCAGGCCCAGACAGAACAAATATGCCTTTACCCCAACATTGGGTGATGAAGCATACAAAATAAGACGACAGCAAACATCGATGGTTGGAAAGACACAACTATAGAGCATGGAGTTCAACATCCCTGAGTAAACCCAAAAGACTTTGAACTAGCCAAAGTAACCGTTGGCTCAGAGGGCTCCTCCAACTCGATCTCGTACTTATGGAACTCAGCAGCACTTGAAAGATGTTCTTCCTGCACCACCTGAGTCTCAATCACATCGGTTCCAAATGGAAGCGTGTCCGGAACATAGATCACTTCAGATGCACTGGACATAGAAGCGCGAGAAGGAGCCCGCTTGATCATCCTGGGTTGCTGCAGGCAGAGAACATTGATCAATAATTCAATTCTTATAGGGGCATGAGAACCTAGACCAACAACCAAAACATGTCCAAAGCAAGCAGTTGAGGTTCTCAGCACGCTTCTGGCGGAGTTCTACCAGATACTCCTTCAGCTTCTTGACTGCCAATGAGTCCGTGTCATCTTCTTCGAACATATGGGATTTGGCATTGGCCTTTGGGTCATCCAAAGGTTGTCTCTTGTCCTCAGCAGTGAACTCCTGCTCGGAAGCATCCTCGATTTTGTCAAGTCCAGTTGGAGAAGCAAGGACGACGTCCTCAGTCCCCTTTCCTTCACCATCCGTTTCCATCGGCTCATCCAATGGAGCATCAGCGCAAAGAGCCTCAGGTTCCAATTCCTCATCGCCAAACAGCGGTTGGGAATCTGGAGGTGCACCCCTTTTCACTTCAGGTGCTGGAGCAGCATCAGCCTCATCATCTGAAAGAACAACCATCTCCAGATTGTTTGTCTCCTGTGAGGCTTGAAAACAAACGAGAACCCTTTTGATACAAACACTTTAAGATGATGCGCCTAGGTGATGCTTTCCTTAAAAAAATTGAAAGATGGCTGTTTGGAACCATCTGTCCTCTTCAGACAGGCCTTGAGATTCATCATCAGCACCATCATCAGCATCATCACCTCCATCATCATCCTGAAACCGTTCGGGGAAGACTGCTGCCATGAGGTTCCTGAAGCCTCTAGCTCTTGGGGCTTGGCCTCTCTGAAGCTTTCGCTTTACAAGCACACAGCATTTCTTGGCAACCCATGCATCCAATTTCACGGTCTGCTTGCTCACAATGCCATAGAGACCACTAATCCAGTGCAACTCATTAATCCTTATTTGGAGTGCAGGATGAGCGTGCAGCATAACAACTAAGTGCGAATTAGCATTGGGCGTTCTGACAGGCACACATATATGCGCATGCAGGTGTATATGCAAACCATCCTAAAGCCCTCTCCAAACTAGAGCCTCTCATGGATGGACAACAAATCAAAAGGGTGCGTGCTTCAAAACCAAGTTTCTCCCGCACCAAATCTGGGACTGTCACCATGAGGACTTCATCCCCGCCCTCAGCACGCAAGGCCTTCATCAGCGGAAGCAGCACCTCCGAGTTTAGAGATGCAAACTTGACATTGATAGTCGGGGCGTCCTGCCCCTTCTCCAATTCAAAGATGGAGTGTGTGTCACGCAAAAGCCTGCGCACTTGTGCACAACTCTCCCATGTAAGGTGAACCTCATTGATATTTGCCGACATCACTGACACTTCTCAATGCCAGTACAAAGGCACAACACACCTTGAACAAAATTAAGTGCTGCAGACACATGTGTGCCAGTTTTGTGCATGGACACTGCCTGCACAGTGATATTCTTCTCTATAAGCAAAGGATTTCTTGTAAAGTATAGGGGTTCGTTCAAAGGCTGGCAGCATTAACAGATATTAAAAGCATTTTGAACGTTTAAAGCATGATACATTTAAATGCCAAAGGTTATGTGATTTTCATTTGGTTGAGTTTGCATGTGCTTCACCCTTGCATCGGTGCTGAGGCCCCGGACATGACGTGGCCAGATCAAGCCCAGAGGGAAAAAGAGCGCTCATCAACGCTCCACCCACACTTGGGCCTCAGAACCTTTCAAAAACACTCTCAGATATACAAATCTTCTCTTGGGAATCCTTCATGTTCATAGTGTCAAGAGGGGCTAGGTCAAAAGTACGCCCCTTTCAAAGAGTACGCCCCTTTCTCAAAAAGACAGGTTTTCATATCAAGAGCCAGGCTTTTTTGAAAGGCCTTCAGAAAGAGATACCTTTCGAGACGCAGGTATATATATGCACTTGCAGGTTCCATAGGAAGACCTGCTAGGTTCGTCTGTCCGGCTCCTTGATATTAAACCCTGGCGCCCAAAGAAGGCATCATGATGGTCAACGTGCAAGTCACCAACCTTGCATGCTTGTTCTTCTCCAAGGATGATTTTGCAGCCAGGCGACGTACATGGTGCCATTTCGGTCGACCTGCTCGGCAAAAGACAGGGCCAGGAGGAGTACTATCCGCAGTTTGCTTTGGATGTTTTAGGATCAGGAACTGAGGTGCTCTTGAAAAAAGAGCTATGCTTGAGGAACCAGGAACTACATTTGTATAGAACTTATCTGATAAGACCTTAGCTCACCGGAAAAAAAAGGAAAACAATCTGGAAGGAATGTATCTATCTAACCTTATCTTCATGAAACTAGGATCTCTCGTGATACTTGCCGTCCTTATACAATACTGCACGTGCACTCAATCAAACCATGGCCAGTCACAAAATCAAATGCATCTGAATGCCACACGTCTACCCTGCTAAGAGAAGCATTGACGACTTTGAGATGCCAGGGAAAACACTAGCTTTAACAAACATGTGAGGATTGTGTA